CAGGCAGCAGTGAGTAGAGCAGAGAGGGCAGAGGCCGGCAGTGCTGGGCCCCCAGGAATAGCTCTGGGACCCTAAGTCCTTCCTACAATCTGCTGCAAAGGGGGCTGGTTGGGTCCCCTCCACAGGGGTGGATGGGATGCTCGAGCTTCCCAATTGGCTTATGAGAAAACCATGCTTAGCGTCTCCACGTGCCTTCTAGAGGCCAGTGCGGACAGGAGGGCGGAGAGCTGGTGGGAGAGTGAGCGGGCAGGTCAAGCAGAGGTGAGGCTCGTCCTTTACTGGAGACGAGTCACAGGAGGGCAGCAGGGACCATGAGGACAGGTCTGCCTCCTGTAAAGGTGTCCCTGGCACTCTGGAGGGAGGACTGGAGTAGGGGAGACTGGAAGCGGGGAAGCCAGCATGGTAGGATGGACCGGCCTGAGAGAGAAGGTGGTGGTCTAGAGGAGGGACAGGGACAGGGAAGGGTGGAGGCCTCTGCTGGAGGTAGAAAGGACACTCTCGGGGGTCTGATCTGGCTCTGGAAGGTGGCAGAGATGGAGAAGCCTAAGAGGGCCCCACGTTTTTAGCTTGAATTTGTGAAAAACGGTACCATTTCGTCTGGATGGAGGAGCAGGAGTGGGGTTCGAGGAGCAGGTGATGCGTTCCTGAGTGCCCACACCCAGTGCCGCGGCGGCCGTGCTGGAAGCGCTCTGTAAACATTTGCTGGGCTTGGGGCAGCACAGACAGGGCTGAGCAGAAGGACATGCAGACCAAGGAAGCCGGGGGACAAAAAGGCAGCAACAGAACACCCAGCGGCTGAGGGACTGCAAGCACAGGCGGGATGGGAGGCAGGATGGGAGACGGGCCCCAGGCAGGAGCTGAGGCTGCGCAGCGAGTCAGTGGGGGACCCAGGCTCCTTCCCTGCACTCACAATTCCTGTGGCCAGCTCAGGGGGGCTCCCTGGGGACTCAGACTCATGAGGACACAAACACCGCTGACAGTGACAACCAAGACAGCCACAGGACCGGCAGAGCGTCGAAAAGACTGAGCTCTGTGAGGTGATGAGATTCATCCCCACACCTGTGCCAGGTATTCAGTTGCCAAGGCTCATCCGAAAGCCAATAATAAGTGAGAACCACTAAATGCTTCTGTCACCGCCGTAATTAGCTAGCTAATATTAATAATAGGGAGAAGGTGAAAGGGAAGCCACAGATTACAAGCATGGCCATCTGGGCAGTTTTACCAGGAAGCTGCCAGCTTCGCACTCCCCAGGGAACCACTGGTCCATTCCCTGCAGATCACTGGGGGAAGGGATCAAACAAAGGGGGAAATGGGCATATGTGTAGTGAAGCTGGGGTGATGTAGGGAACACGCTAGCCTGCCAGTCTAACCCAGGAACAAAGACCATTGGCCAGGAGGGTGGACCCCAATGCAAGCCTGAGAAAATTTGGGGATACATAATCCCCAGACAAAGGAATTCTCCCTCTCTTGCTCTCTTGTTCTGCTCTGCTCCTGCTTCCTTGAACTCTCTTGCTCAGTGACCCTCACTCACCCATGAGCTTGCCCACCATGTGGCCTTAGCACCCGCATGGCCCATGAACCCCACACGCAATGGTCTGCAGCTGGGAGCACAAGCCAAGCTAGCCAGATGCTGGACTGGACTGTGCTTTAAAAGGGAGCAGAAACTCTGGGCAGTTGCCTTGCTGAAGACAGGGCTGGACTTTTTCCATGGTGAGATGGAGGGAGATGGGACCTTGGAAGGGGTACCCCCTTAATGTAACATCATCAATAAAGATTTCCACAATACCTATCCTCTTGTGGGGGTCTCAGGAAATTCTTTACCCCGCGGTACCCACGAGCTCCACTTCTACCGGTAACAGTTAGAGACATAACTGATGACACTTTCTCTGTGAGAGGTGCCAATGTTGGCACCCACATATATTATCTCTATCCCCTCAGCCAATCTAGGAAGTAGCCATTATGGTCATCTTTCCACAACTGAGTAAACTGAGGCTCAGAGACATTAGATAACTTGTCCAAAGTGGCACAACAAATAAATGAAGGAACTGGGTGGGCCTCAACTCCAAGCTCATTACCTTTAAAGCTCAGATGCTATAGGGTTTAATCCTGTCCTAGGATTTTCTCACTCCTGGTCCAGGGCAATGTGTACCACCTCCCACTTGTTTTTAGTGAGGTTTTGAAAACCAAGTGGAAATTACGATAATATACATGAATGTGACTGTAAATGGGAAATCACATTATAAACACCAGGCATTGCTGTTATTCTGTCTTTATTAGAGGTCGCGAAGATTTTTATTTTGCCAATTTTGGATTAAAAATAAACAAATCACCATCAATTACCACTGTCATTTCACAAAAGAGAAACTATCTGAATACATCAATTTGTAGGCAGGGTGTACTTGTGGAACAAAATGTGGAAAAACATACAGTGTTGTGTTTTCACTGTCGAAATGGGTTTACACTGGGAGTCACTGACCTCAGTGACCATTTCAGCTCCGAATTCTTCCACGTGCCTTACTCTTCACTAAATAATACCCTTAAGTAACGTAATTCTGACTACAATCTACGATCATGGTGGGAAAAAGCCAGTTTGTCTACTTAGACACACATTTTTTCAGCCAGCTCTAGAGGACACCAAACAGCTGGTCAACTCAGTTGTGTCTGTGGCAAAAAGAGTGTGGTTTGGCACCGTGGGGACAGGTGGCTGTGCTTTCCGCTTTGAGGCTGCAGCGTGGTTTCTTCGCCTAGAGGCCCAGGGGGACTGATCTGGGTTCTTTGTCTCTCTCCCTATATTAATCATGTTTTTCTTTTATGTTGTTTTGACATCTTGGGGGCACCTGCCCCACCCAGGGCATGCCAATCCCTGGACACAATAAACATGGTGTTCACCTTTCACATGCCAACCAACCAATCCATCTCCATCTAACACACACCAAGCCCATATTTCCCCTGCCCTAAATCACCCCAGGGCCAGATATCAGACAACTAGAGACCACCCCTGGAGGCCAGAGCCTCTGACATTATTGGAACTAGCCAGTCCACAGCGGTTTCCCCTGCCCTGCCTTCCTTTCCCTCCGAAAACACAAAGAAGGTTCTGGGCCAGGCTTTCCCACACTCCTTCTGCCTCCCAATCAAACCTTGTGCTCCCCCTGTGGCCCTGCATGGCATGGCATGCCGTGTCCCCTCCACTTGGGAACTATAAATAATACATTTTTTCAATGGCATTGATCTCTCCAATTTGTCACTGAGTCACCTCTATAAATTAAAATCCCAAGGCACGTTTTAACTTTTGCTGAGCTCAGTCCCTTACATCCTATGAAAACAGTGACTCCTCTCTGTACTCCCCTCCCCAACAGTCCACCAGGGGCCTGCACCTTGGGGATGCCCCTGACAGAGACACTGATGCCCCCCAGCCACTGAGGGGCTGTGTCTGGCATCACCACTGGATGTTAGATACACAGAAAGCTTCTCAGGAGGCCTGTGCACCTACTCAGAGCTGGAGCCAGGCCGTGGGGAGCTGGCATTGCAGGTGCCCCCTCCTGCATCTGAGGGACAGAGAGCTTGGAATGAGGCCTCAAGGAAGGCTTGTGCCTGCAGGGGGTGGGCAGAGTGGGTGTATCCCCCAAGGAAAAGCAGAGTTTGCCACCCTGAAATATGCCTTTGGGATATTATTTTAAGCTGGTTATTTTGAAGAAACAAAAGACTCACAAAGAGCTTTCTACCTCCCCCTTACTTGCCTAAAGGAATTTAGGTAGAAAAACCTGCCCGAAAGAAGAGAGCTATCACCTCAGCATAATGTGAACTAAGTGTAACAGACAGGGAGGAACCTGCAAAGTCCCCTCTGTCCCCCTGGCTGGGTGGCCCAGCAAGAATAAGTTCACCAGGGTTTGTTCTTCCTCACCTCCCTGCCAACTGCCTGCCTTCCCTTTGAGGTCCAGGCTTCTGCCTCCCTCTCCTTAGTCCAAAATAGCATATAAGCCTCAACTGCCCAATGTGTCCTGAGGTCCCATATTCTTGGGGAACCCCTGTGAGTACCTATGCAATAAAGGTGGTCATTTTTTCCTATTAATCTGTTTCACGTCAGTTTCGTTAGTCCAGCTGGAAGAACTTAGAAGGGTAGAAGGGAATTATTTTTCCTCCCCCACACCCCGAAAGCTGCAACCACAGATCAAAATAGCAGGAGAGAGAAGTAAGGGAAGTTCTGAGCCTGCATTCCCCTCCCAAACACACACACAGTCTCCTCTCCCTGCCCCCAGCCTCGTGTGAAACTCAGTACTGCCCAGAGCAAAGACATCTGGCTCAGACAGTGTCTACCAAGTTCACCCCAAACCTCCAGGAACTATGTCCTGAGGTTACTGTGTCAACAAATTGACATCATTATCAAGTCTTTCCTGGGTTGAATCCTGTGCTGGTCACCCTGAGAAAACACAGGCAGAAGGAAACCTGGAGAAGTCTGTATGCTGTGAGGGATGACAAAGGCTGGGGAGGGCCCTGGGCTCTGCAGGCATGGCCTCCGAGTGATGGGATGTAAGGCTCAGAGCCTGGCTCAACCCTTGCATGAGGGGCCTCTGACCTCACTCACCACATCACCGTCTGTGGTTCCAGTAGTTGTGTTACCCAAAGGAGACTGTATCAAAGGCTCAGGAAGCCTTGCTCTCCATTCCTGTCCCCCCCTCTCTCTTTACCCACATGCAAAAAACAACACATGAGGCTCCCCATGGTCCCATCTGCTCTGCTGGGCTCAACCTCCCAGCCACCAGCCTTAGGATGTCACTCTGGCTCTGATGTCCAGCAGTCCCGTGTGTGGGAACTCAGGAACCAAGGGCTCAGCTCATGGGGCAGAGAGTGGCCCCAGGCCCTCCGATCCTTCCTGGAGGCACAGAGGTGAAGATCCTACCACCCCCTGGGCTCTGAGTGGACCAGAAGCCCCAAGCCCATGGAGGTTAGGCCCATCCAAGGGGAAGGAGAGACCCCTGGGCAGCAGGGCGGGTTGAACTCACTCTGTTTCTCCTGGAGGACACTGGATGTGCACGGCGTGCTCCCTTCTCCTGCAGAAGAAGGAAACGTGAGCGGAACCTCCCATCACTGCTGGCCGGACCCTGGGAGGCTGCTTATGGCTGCCTCTATCCCTCCATTCAATGTCCCCCCTCCCCAAGCTGGGGGCTGGGCAGGTGTCTCTCCCACCCCCTCATGCCCTGCCACCCTTAGCTCGAGGTTCTTCACGAAAGACAAAGCACACACTGTGACACCATTGCCCGGGGTGGGGACTGGCGCCTTCCTCCTCGCCTCCTCTGGCACCCCCTCTCTGCCCACTTTCACAAAGCAGCTGCTTACCTGGTGCTAACCCTACACACTTACTCTCCCCTCCAAAGTGCCCCGTTGAACACCACAGCCCTGCAGACAACTGCCAGGCCTCTGTCTCTCGTCCAGCCCTCTCCTATAGCCTTTTTTTAAAATTTATCTTTATTGTTAAAAATATTACAGGTGTCCCCTCTTTTCCCCATTGACTCCTTCCACCCCGCACCCACTCCTTGCCCCAGGCCTTCACCACACTATTGTCTGTGTCCCTGGGTTACTCCCATGACTTTTTTATCCAGTGCTGTTACCCCCTGGACGTGAGCTCTGGATGCTTCTAGGCAGCGCACACTCACCATGCCCACAGCAAGGGTCCTGGAGCTGCCCCTCTGCCCAGTCCCCACCTCAATGAAGGCACCACTTCCCCCAGCCAGGGGGTTGGCCTCAACCCTTTCCCTCTTCTGTCCCCACATTCAATCAGTCACCAAGTGCTGTGGGGTCTGCCTCCTAATCTCCTCAACCCTCCTCCCTCTTCACAAGATAGAGACCCCACAATGGGAGGTATTTCTGGGTTGTTCAGGGCATGTCCTCAGGCCTAGAGCAGTGCTTCTCAATATTTGTTGAATGAATAAATGAATGAAACATGCCCCCCCCAATACACGTAAGCATACTATCCCAACACAGAACTCCATCCTGTCTCCTTGTGCAATCAGGACAGCTTCCTCCTTTTAATGAGAAGCTGTTTTTCTATAATTATGAAGTAATACAAGCTCCTTATTGAAAATTTGGAAAACACTAACAAACATGAATAAGAAAAAGATTCCTTACAATCCCATCACTAACAGAAAACCACTGATCCCATTTTATGTCATTCCTTTCCGTTTTTTCCCATCGTATCAGCTCTCTGCGGACAGGAACTATGTCATTTATGTCTGTATTTCCAATAAACAGATCAATGGCTGGCTCATGGAAGGCATTGTATATGATTTTTTAAAAAGCACAAAATACACACTCTGTACTTCAAGTTGAAGCATAAATAGTTCACCAATAGAGTTACAAAACCTTTGAAACACCATTCCAATGGCTATATAATCTGCTACTGAGGCTATATATCGTGGTGGACTTTAAAATTACCCCATTGGTGGAAAGTTTCTAAATTGCACGGTGTAATTACTGCTGCAATGAACATATTTGTGGTTGGAGCTTTTTCCGCATTTTCTATGATTTCCTTAAAATACACCCACCGAAGGAGAATTCTGGGTCAAAGGATGGAAACCTTAAGGCTCCTGATGTCACTGCCTTATTTCTTTCCAGGGAGGTGTACCTTCTGATTTGTACACCCACACGCAGCAGAAGTTATGTGCTGTTATCAACAGACACTCGCCTCCCTGGCATTTGCATTGGTCTGTTGAATGCCTCTGGCTTCACCAGATCTATCTTTCTACAGCTAGCACTCCAGTGGCATCCTATCAACAAATCCTGAGCCTGGCAAGCAAGCCTCTCCATAAAGTGGCCCCTGCCCATGTCCCCAGGCTCCCTCCACCCCCTCAACCCCACC